TCTATAGCACAAGTCTCTTTTATAGAGAAAAAAAACAATATGCATTTTTTTTTAACTTCGATGCGTTAGCCGAGAAGGTATTAGTTTTACAATAATGTGTTGGGTTTTTTTGTGTGATGTTACGATAACTTTATTAACCTAACCTAACCTAATCGAGAAAAACACCTAAAAAATGTACATTTTTTTAAAAAAAAATTGTCGAATTAGTTCCGAATTTGTGTGGAATATTCTTTAGTACTGCCGATAAGAGTACAATATTGATTATTGCACGCTAAATAAATAACATTGATAAGTATAACAATTGCTATTGTACGTTTGGTAAAAACTTATTTTATAGAGTATAACTGTTTAAAAATATAGTGCGAGATAAGATCCTCTTGCGCATCTATTGTCGGCTTTGGTCAGAAAATTTCAAATATAATGTAAGTTTCATTTGTGCTGAAACCGTAATCCGTTCCACAAGAGTAATATACAAATTCAAATAATCTAATTAAAACAAGAAGATACATTTGTAGAAAAACATTTTTGATGTTTATTCAAAGTGACGCGACCCCGGGCGAGATTAATAAAATAACAATAGTAGTACTATATTAAGGAATTACAACGCTTCATAGTATCACATGTAATTTCTAAGTTATTTCAAGTTATGTTTATGATATAAATCGGACACCCTCCCACGAGAGAAATTAAAATTACTTACACATGTGAACATTGGCAATTTGATTATTTCGTGTCGACCCTGATATTATGCACCGCGGATAACCGATTTCACGATTTTCTCTATCTATTTGCATACCTATATGTGAAATAAAGGCCACTTATCATAATTTCTAAAACAAACAACCCTCGGACTTGCCGAGTATGTCAACGACATTGTGGACAACATTCGAATCTAAATATTTGATTTGACTTCATCTGACAACAAATGTTTTTTTATTTTTTACTATATAGTTGTTATAATATCTAATGTTCCAAAGGATTATATCTAAAATATCATTTTATATTTTGCAAGAATTGAGTACTTTTTTTTTCAATAATTTTCTTTCGAAAAATATTTACATATAAACTTACATATTTACAGATAAACTTGCTTATGTTGTATGATTTTGTTGACTAATAACACACCTAATATTATAAGATACCTATTACCCAACAAAATGTTTGTAATACTAATGGTTTTGGCATCAGAGGTCGGACAATTGGTAATAATTTTTAATTCAACAATTAATCATCATTATCAATTGCGAACCAACACAACTAGGTGTAGATTTTCACCGAGAATTCCATTCGAATGTTGCCAATATATCAACATAATATAGTTAAGGTAGTGTATAACTAATTTGTTACGCCTCTTAAGTGTGTATAATTTTTCAAAGAGGTCAACTCGTCGAACACCACCGAGTTAAGTTTGCGCAGCTCGTCCTTGGTTGTGGTTGCGATTACCAACATGCAGTTTAATCCCCAAATGGTATTTAAACACACCTCAGGTACCAGAATATTTGTTAAAAATGGACCTATTCAAATAAACAAAAAAGAAATTTAATAAGGAAAAGAATTTTTTTTTCAATTATTAAATAACGAGACCGATAAATAATTATTCAATGTTCTTGTGGGATTGATAGAATACTTTATTAAAAAAAAAAAAAACCATAGTCATATTGGCAAATGTGGATCAGTGAACATAATATTTTTTGAATAAATTAAATTAATTATAAAGTATTACAATTTTCAATTTTAATGTTAAAATTATAAACATTTGTTTGTGGTGTATAACCTTTTGTAGTCCTGCTGTGTTCGTTACAATATTGTTAACACAACAGCATTTTTAAATCAATCAAACCACAGCTGATACACCTATTTGTAATTGTAATAATATATATTTTATTATAATAAATGTAGTAAATAACAAGTGTAATTAAACTACTCGTGCGAAATAACAATCGCTATTGACTACTTAATAGCATCCGTGCAATGAATTAATGAGCGCTGATATTTACTGATTTCACTTATCTTAGCATTATTATTATTACATAATTTTACGTTTGCACGAACATTAAACACAATCTTTTTTGCTATTATTATAAAATATATTATGTACCTAATTGCATGATGACACGAATATTAGGTGTTTAAAAATATATCCCATTCTGATCACTGCGATAGGTTAGGCTATGCAAACACATGTAATTGATCAATTTAAATATTAAAAAAAAATTTAAATATCATAAATTAAAGCCTTTCGGCTATTTTTGTCTCTTTAAAAACAACATTATTACGATGTAGGCGTTGAACTTAACCGCAGAAATTGGTAATGCATTTTTTTTTTTTTTAATAAAACTTATTTTCATTTTATTATTAACAAATATTTTTTAACAATGCAATTATTAGCCTGTTATAATGTCGTTCGTACATAATACTGCAAAAAAAAAATAAATAAATAAATAAAAGAAAATGTTGTTTTGGCAACGAATATTTAATTAAAAACTAATATAAAGTGACGTACGCGTTAAGAAGGGATTTGTAAATTTTAATAATGGACTGTTAAATATTTTGCAACTTTACTTAATCAGTCATAATAAACCTGTTGGCCGAGTCAACTTAAAAAGCGTTGAAAAAGAAAAATGTGAATAAATATACCCTAAAACTATGTTTATACTAACAAGAAGTTGTGGTCACTGGTCATCCTTTGTCTCTCGTTAGTGATATTTTTTTATTATTAATTTAATATCTTATATCTTCATAGAAATATAAGGATAAATATATTCATAGGAAAAAAGCGTTGAATGATAGCTTGGGATAATAAAAACCTTAAAACTTAAAATTTGTGTTTTTAAAAATACCTACATTTATATTTTAGTGAGCGATTTGTTAAAATAAAAATAAATGTAGCATTAATTCTAAGTTTAGGCTTTTTAAAATTCCAAGCCCCCTTCTAAACTCTGCCAATGTTGTCGACTATGTTTTATTCTATAAAAAAATGCAAGAAATCTTATATGCAAGAAATATTGTCTAACGAGTTTTAATTTTTTAATTGTTAATTAAATCAATCAACCAACAAAATTCAGTAAATAAAATAAAATAAATTAATTAAATATTTTATTTCAACGCGAGGGCGTGTTCTAAAAGGATTTTTTTATTGAACGATTTTTCCTATCTTCAAGAAAAACAAAACCTAAAGCCATATAGCCATAAAACATTCGTTCGCCAATTGTTATAAGAAAAACGTGCCGAGTAATGTGTAAATATAGATATATAGAAATAAATATATGTATATATAATTTATATAGAAATACATATTATATTGTCGCCTTTACGATCTCCTTGTGATTTATCCTGGATATCTCGTTAAGTCTGTATGAAATTTAGCTTGCGATTTGACAAATCGTTTAAAAATTATACTCGCGCGAGGGATTTAAGATAAATCGCATGTGCCTTTGTATGTATGTAATATATTTACAATATTGGCAGTAAGACTTTTTGTACAACTTAATTTCCCTATTTAAAAGGGATATAGTATCGAGGTGAAATCCAAGACGCGATTAGTTGAGTTAAATACAATGTAGTCACAATTTTTTTTTTTAAAGTTCATAAATATTTAGATAAAATAAAAAAATTATTATTAATAATATTGTCATTATACTATTACTGTTCTGCTTTAAACGCGTTCTCCTATTTATTATAAGCAACACATATGAATGGATGTCAATGTCTTGTTTTTCAATGATAGTAATTTTGAATTGAATAGTTAGAATACACCGTAAACCGTACACAACACTGGCTACTAATTCGTATGTGAAATACAAACGAACATAAAACAAGCGGCTGCATTTAATTCTGACGCTTGAACAACTTCTATGACTAACGCAGTGGCGTATTTAGCAATTTGTCTAGGAGACGTTATAAAAAAAAAAATTATATATTTTTAAATCAGACATAAAATGTATAAAGGTACCTCTAGAAATACACATATATTTTTTTATAACGTCTCCTAGACAAATTGCGAAATACGCCACTGCATCAAACATACTTAGAACCTTCTTCCACAAGATAGATCTAACCTAACCCATTGATTAAATATACAAATATGTATTTAATCAATGACTAACCTTACCACCTACACCTCAATATGACCGTTATAATATCTAAACATTATAAACAATTTGAACAATTAATTTTATGTATATATAAAATATACATGTGCGAATATTAACATTAACACAGTAGCACAAATAGGCTATTTTTAATATTCACTTAATTATGCAATCGTCGAGATTAATAATTGTAAGCACAAAATCTAATATACTCACAAATATACTTATTTACAAATACACGTATACAATTAATTTAAATAAACAAATCTGTTAAGTACTATTTCCTTGAGATAAAGCCTGTTCATCAATAACCTTACATTGATCCACATTATTATACTGATAGTAAAAACTACTTACAATTAGGTTACCATAATGTAATGGAATAAATCATTTAAATAGATCAATTATAAAAATAGTGTTCCAAAAGCTGACATAACGCAATTATGGTGGCAGAATCGTCCCTAGGTTATATTATATTTAGCCAGTTCATTTTAAACGAAGGCGTATATTATTTCAAGTCGAAAGACACTTTTGATTTTATTTAAGAGAGAAATCGTTAAAAATCAATATAATTTCTTTATATTTCGTTTGCGAAAATTATACACAATATGAAAAAAAGTATTAAACGAAATATGTATAAACTATGCATATTTTGACATTTTTAAATGCATATTTTAATATATTTATGGTCATTAACATCCGAGCTCCAATGATCACTATAACGCTCACTCCCCCTACCTTGGGTTTTTTTCCGGTCTTTATCAGCTATTTATTACTATTTGCGTTATGAGGGCAAAAAAAAAGGCGATAATTAGCGACTAAATTACAATATATTATTATAACTATAATACCTACACTCGGTACGGTACTGTGTTTGTTGAACGGATTTCAGTCGGTTAGAAACGGGAAATAACGGACGACAGCATCGCCTACACAACACACACACACACACAACAGGGTGTGCGCGATTCAGGGAGGAAGGTATAAAAGACCTGCGTTAACGTCGTTTCGGGTCACTTTTGGCACAAAAGTTCATTTTGACGATTGGCCGTCCGTTCGCGTTTGTAATATATTACTAAAAAAAAAAAAAAATCCAATCCCAGTGTTTTTTTTTAATTGAACCGCTTAACTATATACTAATCGTTTACCGAAAGTATCACGATGAATTCAAAACGGCCTCAACTGGCTCCAAACCGTTATATGTTTATGGTGATAACGGTGGTCATGGTGTTGTTGACCGTCAATAGCGGCGCGGCAAAACGTGAGTGTATTGCATTAAAAGTACAAAAAAAAAACCATATATAATATAAAATAATAACGATAGAGGTATATAAAGGTATATGGCTCATCCGAAAGAAAAGTTTAACAATAAGAGGAAATAAAACCATGACGTTTAGAAAAAGCGATCAAAGTTTTTCTTTTTTTTTCAAATTTATTATAACCGCTTTTCTTTAGGTACGCACAGCAACACCTGCTCTTTTTTAAGAGCTCAATGTCAGGCTAACGCTGATATTGTGTCGTTTTCGCATATTATAATAATATAATATTAATATTGTAATATACCAATTTATACGTCATTATTTTATAATAGAAAATAAATACCGAAAGATTTGCTTGGGCAATTTTCCAGGTAAAATCTGCGCCCGTACCTAAGCACCGTGCTTAAGCGTGCTCTATAATTATTATATAACATTGTTGTTTGTCGGTTGCACTTGCCTTTGGTACTATTGGAGTTTTTAACTTTTGATAACAACAGGTAGTATTAGCACCGTACAGCCTACATAGTGTTTTACCGCATGCTCAATTTTTACTACCATACTTTATCAGTGTACCGGTCAGCATCGGCTATCAAAACCATCAATAACATGTTTACTCAAACTATAATAATTTAAAAATATTAACGCTGTAATAAAAAATGTACAAGTCTAATAAATATTTCATATCGTTTTTTTTTTTTTTAATTATTATTGGTATAGAATATGGATAATTTACCAATAAAATGTGTATAATTAGAAATTAATTATAATTTCTAAGAGTATACCTACAAAACAAACGCCCAGGAACCGATGATATTTTACTAAACAATACAATTTGTGTAATTTGGGTAATGACGTTTTAGGGTTTTATTTTTACGCATTATCTGTTTACTCAATAAATAAACAGTGAATACTTAATTTACAACAACTCCATAGAAATGGTAAAATTGAAATATTCCTGATAATTTAAGTTCCTTTTCTGATATTACGTTTTACCTTATATTATTTCATTCATTTATCGTTTTTATAAAACTCAAAACTTTATATCATATGCGTACAACAATTAAATAGTTATGTTCGAGAAAAGTTAAAAATTAAATAAACATTTTAGCTATTCAAACACTTTTGTACAATGGCCGTAATAATCGTTTACATAGATTGAAAATAAATTTACTGTTAAAATAGTTGTATATGTCCTTTTCTCATCTTATTATATAATCTCATAAACATGAATACTTTAATAAAAGATAAAATTAGTTTAAACGTTATTAAATGCAATTATTGAAGTTTTAACAGTTTATTTCATAATTAAAATTAATACTTGTTGATAAGCTAATAATAAATAGCGAACATTTATTTTTATAAATATAAGTATAATAAATATTAAGCAAAAACTATTTGTGGGGGAAATAATATTAAGCAATGAAATAATCACTATCCCAAATTCGGATTTTCTTTCGTAGAAAAACATTTTCATTAATATTGTATAGATTATAACTTACAATGAATATACCAATATAGAAAAGCACTATAGCATTACATAATGTATATATTATTGATACAATTACACTAATTGGCTATTACCTGGGAAAAATATGAATTGCAAATGTACTGATTTATACAGACAGGTGTTTAGATATCAAAGAATGAGATAAAGTGTAGGTATATTATTATAATAACTCATTAGAGATAAGTTTAATAGCTAATAAAATACACAACTAGTACATCGTGAACTGATCACCGACATGCATGTATCAGAATTGCCTACTTAAAGCGCCGCCATACAATTTTTAATAAACCACTTTTTTTTAAGCACTTTTTATTGAACAAAAAACACTTAAAAAAACTAACTTTTAATATAAGACCCAGCCAAACTACATCTAGAAATGGGTGAAAAATCTAAAATAAATTATCAAAAATTATATTTTAATCCAAATAATATTCTCAAGAGAAGGATAAAAAATAATAATTCAAGGATTTTTTAAATCACCCTAATATATATATATATATATAAATACCGTATATATATAGTACATATTATTTAATTTTAGGAAACAATATACTTGCTGTCTAACTCAAATTTGTGAGGAACAAATTCTTCTCTAAAAAATCTTTTCTAAAATCTCTTCAATCTCTATAATGTGTGTTGTTCAACTGAAGTTTTTTTCCAAATATTTTATTTTAAATTTGAATACTAAGTTTGTTGACCGCTTACAAATCTTAAACATTCAAAACACGATCGGCTTCAGTCTTAAGACGGGTAAATGACTTCGAATAATACTTTTATAACAATCGATTAGCGTTATTATAATAAAAAAACTGGCATCGACTCCAGTGCCAGCTAATAATACGTCTGATAAACGTGATAGCAATGTGAATTATGATTTTTCTCTACAATTTTTTTTCCCTTAAAATTTAGCACCTCAATTATGCAGTCATGATGAGCCCTGGCGATTGTATTCAGGACGTCTTGAGGGTCTATAATGTAAACGAGTAGTACAGGACTTACCATTTTATTTTGTGTTTTTGCTGATCAAAATGGGAAACCTAGAGTACCATGTATACGAACAATATATACAATCTTTTACAAATGAATCGGTCATTTGAGAAATTCCATAAGTCAACATTTTAGCCATAATTTTTTTTTTCAATTCTATACGTGTACACATTTTATGAAAAAACATTTATTGTCGATGAGTTCTTTCCGTTCTAAATAGGGATTTGAATTTTGGATTTGCCGTTTACAAGAGAAACACCATTAATCCTGTCTTATGGTGTTTCTACAATCGATGGAATTCCTTTATGAAACACCCCAAGTCCCAAATTCAAATTTTCGCAAATTAAATATAATAAAAAAATACTCTACCATGTAAACTACTTTGATTCAAGGTACATGCTATAAGAAATGATGGGTTTTCAAACTCTTTCTATTATCCTTGTCCTGTATAATTTACATTTTGTGTCTTAAGACGTTTCTAAAAACTACCTATTCAAATAGTGTACCCCCAAGAAGAGCAGTAAATAAATAAAAAAATTATCACACATGTTTTTAAAATGAAAAAAAAACCAACAAAAATAGTTTCCTTTAATAGGAGACAGTACAATATAATTGGGTTCCCTGGAATAATAAAATAATATTAAATTAATCATTTACGTTATTAAATTTTGTTTTAATACAAAAACCAAATGTTGAAGCTCACCCTGTTCTCGGGATAAATAATATTATATCTTAAATGGTCGCCCACTGGTGGTATAATATAATATTATGACTTATGATATTGTATAAATATAAGATTCAAGTATTGTTTTCATTGTTATTCGTTTGAAAGTGTTTTCCTTAGAACGTACTTAATAACGGCAACTCCGGTTCGGTCACAAAATGTTGACCGTAAATTGTCTAGTGCACATAGACTGTTATTTTTTCTAGGTTTTAAGATTGTAAGTAATTTCATTAATATTTCTACTCTCGTTTAAGCAATTATGTGTAAAAAAAAACCCTAGTTTTGTTAAAGATATTTATTTTATGGTTTTTCTTTAAATCCTAAAATTAGTCCATAAAATATAAAATTACCGTTAAATTGCTATAATATTTTTTCCGTGGAAAATGTATTTTGAAAATCTATAACAATTTATACATGTATCCCAACTAAAATTCAAACTAAGTTTTGTTAAACGATAAATTTTGGGAAACATGAAAATTGTTTTTTTCTACGCTATGTGCACAAATCTGATTTTTCACGAAAAGACATATCGTCAGCCTACTAAGCAAAGTACGTATCTCCAAAAAAATTAATTTTGGTATATTATAGAGCTACCGATTACACGTGTAACACGTGTAGTTCGAATTGACGTGTAGAAGTTCGTGTAGTTCGTGTAGTTATAAGTACACGTGTACCTGCAACTACACGTATTCGTACATATGTAAGTTTTTATAAGACCTCTAATTTTACGTGATACTATTTTTTAATTAATGGTTGTTACTAAGATAAAGTATTATAGCCATTGGGTCAAGTTAATTGAATCTCGGGTCCTACACGTGTATTAAATACACGAACTTCTACACGTCAGTTCGAACTACACGAACTTTGTCCTACATGTGTATTTCAAATACACGTGTAGAATCGTCGGCTCTAGTATATTACATATTACCTACACATACTATTTGAAAGAAAAAAAAACTGTGCGTCGGCTGGTATAATATTTCAGTGTTTTTTCCATGAAACGTGTGATAAACAAATAAGGAATTGTTATTGAAATAAATAGAATAAATAAAAAAGTTGTTTTCCTTTTAGCGTGAAATTTGGTATTTTGGAGTTACACCTATTGCTAAATTGGCAGACAATATTAAGTACACTCCAGTGGATATTATTACATATTAACACGGATTGATCTTTAGTTTACCAAATAGGTCAGCGTGTTTTGAGCTCGATAACATCCTAATATTATGATACAATATTCATGTAAGGTATGCTACTATACCCACGTATTTAATGGTAGCAAGTGTAATTTATATTTGGATACATAAATTCACGTTTTCTGAAGAACTGATTATTAGCCGGAAGTATTTCACCATTTTGCTAAATAATTCACCGTTGATAAATACCTTAGAATTCATCTATTCAACGCCGGGACATTTTCAAATATTCATGTGTGAAATATTAAAATTCAATTTTAAATCAACTATATACTGGTGGCGGCCCAAGTGAACTGAAAGCCACATTCCAAATAATGTTAGGTACATGTTGCAATTACGGTAATCATTATTCTTATGGAACTGCGTTAACAAACTATAAATGTTGTTGGTCGTCCCCGTAGGATTAAAATAATTGTGCTTAGGTACACATACATAGTCTCCACACTCATATCTTCAATAAACCGTTTAGCTGCAGAGACCCGTGTTCATTTAGCGGTGCCTCGACGTAAAACCGCAAAACCCTATACCCTTATACACGGAGTCGTCTTCCTGGTGAACTATCATTTGCACGAAACTCACATGAGGTAAAAA